ATTTTTTTATTTAATATTAAGATAAAATACAAAGTTAAAAAAATTCCAAAAATATATGACTCATACTGTATATTATCATATTTATATTGCTGATATAAAAGCTTTATTATATGAAACAAAACATATTTATTACATATATAAAAAATTTATAAATATATTATTTAAGCTTTATATTGTAAATTATTTAACTGTCTAGCAATTATTAAATATAACAAGCTGTTAAATAAATTATTAAATAATAATAAACTTTAATTTATTTATATAAAATGCTTTATAATATATAAAGGTTATTTGCATACTTAGTCAGGAAAAAAAAATGGTTTTATATATAAATTAAAAGCAGTACAATATTGATATAATATTTATTGTAAAGTTATTTAATAAATTAATTGAATAGATTACTAAATCAAATAATAAAAATCTAAAAATTAGTTTATTAAAAAAGATTATAGAATTATTAAGTAATATTACTATAAACACATCTGAGATATAGAATATTATTATTGTATCCTTATTATTTTAAGTTTTTTTCTTGTTAAAACTGTATTTGCAATTAAAAAAAATTAATATTAGTAAATAAGAAATTCAGTTTAAATTTATTATTTGTAAAAACTTTGAAAATATACTTGTTTGCTTTATATTAAAAATACAATTGAAGCTTAACAAAAATTATAATTATTTAAAAAACTAAAATCTTTAGGTAAATACTACAATACTATATTATCATTTTTTATAAATTTCATTTTTTTAATTTGATTTCAACTTTAAAAGAAAAAAGAAATCAAATATTAGTTAGAAAATAAATAATAAAACTTGCCTCTATTATAATTAAATAAAAAAAAATTAAAATATATTTTTTTTTTTTTGCTTTAGTGTTACTTATTGATATTTTTTGTCAATAGAAAATATGATTTATATACAGTATATAAAAACTCTATTGTATTGCCTAAAAAGTTATTAATGAATTAATAAGAAACTTGTTACAATATATTAATTATTGAATATTAAAATGGATTTGAAACTGATAGTATAATCAATATAAGAAATTTAAAGAGTAAATGTTTTAAAAATATATAAATAATATCTGTAAATAAGTTAAAATATTTTTTTTTATATCAAAAAAAAAAAAATCAAATTAATAAATATTATAATATATATACTATAAAATAAGTTTTTCTTTAATTTTTTATACTCTTATAATATACTATCCACTTGAGATAAAAGTTTACAAAAAGTTTTCTCTTTGATACATCTTGCAAACTATTTTTTATATTAAACTGAAAACAAATCTAACAGAAGACAAATTTATTGTCATTCTTTGAAGATATTCATTTTACAGGAAAATATTTGTTTATTGTATTTTTTATATTATATTGTTTGTAAAAACCTAGACTTAATTTTGTTTTAAGGAATATCTTGTATTTAAATGCAATTATATCATTTGTGCAACTTATGAAAATCATATGATAAGATTTTAGACTGATAACACATAACAGATAAGTTGTAATTTTTACGACTACGCGTCAATCTCTGTCACGGGATCACATATTATTATACCATTTCCTTTTATTTATTTTTTCACTATTAATTCTTTAAAAGAATAATCTGTGTATGTTGCATATGGCGAATTAGAAAGCGTTTTATTATCCTAGTACTAAAAAATATTATTACCAGTTTTATGGAAGTTACGAGTAATACTATGGTAATACTATACTTCGAGTTTAGCAAATAGCGAATGTAAAGAAAAATTAAAACATATGAGTAATTATTATCTTTAAAGGCGGATAGTGATTTTTTTTATACAAAAAATAGGAACAAAAAAATTTAACATTTTGTCGCCTTCAGAAATAATTGCTCATGTACATAAGAAATTATTTTATTTCAAATTTTCTGATGACTTTCTTATATTTACTGTAGTTACACCAGCTTCGACATTTAATTCCACAGACTCGGAGTCAATTCTAATTATTGAGAAAATCATGTTAGAAATTAACAAGTATTATAAATGATATTTTGAGCTATATCTCACTTTTTCGCCAAATTAATTTCGCGTTGGAGTCTTCCGAAAGGAAGTGGAATTTCACTCTTTAGTTTTTTTCCAGGAATCGTTTTACGAGAGAAATTTCCTTTGATACAGATCGTACGATCATTCGAGATGGAAACTGAAAGCTCATGTTTGTCTTTAACACTAGGAGTGTCTACAACAATAACATATTCACTCCTACAATGTAATATCAAAAGAAAGTTGAACATTAATTAAAGTATTGGTTCATGATAATATCAGCTTACTAAGATCAACAATACGAACTCGGTCTCATAAATGTCATATGGCAGCTGCTTGTCAACTTCATCGTTAACTTCGATTAATTTCCTTTTTCTGCTTTCTACAGTAATCTGGTTCGGATTTCCGTAATCTCCTTCACTAATACCCGTATTTTAATGTTCAAGTAAATAAGAATATTAAAAACGATATCAAAGTTTTTGGAGAGTAAATAGTTTACCTTATATAAGTTACTTTATTTTTGGATGAGAAAAACTGCGCAGCAACAAACCGAATCGCGCCGTACGGACTTTCTTTGTTTATATTTTTCATCGAATTGTAGAACATACTTGACTCCATATAAGAATCAAAATGTATATGTCCATATCTAAAAAAAAAATTAGTTAGAATCTTGTTCAAAAACACTTCTTTTTTGAATATCTACAGTATTTACCCATTAAAAGGTTTCTTAATTATATGAACAAATGGTACCGGCGTGATTTCTCTTAGCCACTTCTCAAAGTCATCCTGGTTGACTTGTTTTATAGGCCCCATGAACATTACCGACTTTGTTTCATTACCACAACAAGTATTTTTTTTCTTGGGAGTTTTTTTCTTGGGAATTTCTTTCTTGGGAATTTCTAAAATAGAAAAATAGTGAAAATTCTCTCCTAGAAGGTAAGGGTGAAATCTTCCTCGAAACCTTAGCGGGTAAGAATCTTTTTAAAAGAAAACCGACTTTACCTAAAACTTCATTATTAACAGAATCTTCATTCACAACAGATGCAGGCGTGATTTCCACATTATATTTGGCTGCCATTATTTTCTTGTTAGCGCGTAACGAAAATTTATCATTTTAAACTATTTTTAAATTACCTTTTATGGTCAACCATGCATGTATTATTCTTCACGGGGTGTTACATAATCCCTGTTTACTTTTTAGGCTACGCGATTTTCGCGTCGCGACTCAACTCAGGATAAGACGACATAACAATATTTAAAGGAAGTTAATTAATAGTACAATTTTAAATTAAAAAAATTTTTTTATCAAGCAAGGTCTTGTCTGATATTACTTTTACAAGACCAACTTTATATTTTTTTAATTTTCTTTTAATAAAATTATATTTATCCAATATTTTTCTTTTATATTTTTCTAGTGTTTTTCTATTGAAATTCAATTTTTATATATTGTTATATTTTGATTCCAATATTAGGACAAAGTTGTGATTTTAACTGAAATAATAATTTTGAATTGATTATATTAATTTATTTAATAGTATTTGAAACAAAACATATTATTAGTTCAAATTAGGTTATTTGGCTACCAAATTATAGTCAATTAAATTCAAATTTATTAATAAAAGTTTATATTAAAGTTTTGTTGTTTGGTCCAATTTATGCCATTTAGTACTTAAAAAATATAATATTTAGTAAAAATAATCATTTAGTAATAAAATTATTTGACAAAAAATCATTTGACAATAAAATCATTTAGCAAAAAAATATTTTTAGATAAAAAATATTCAACAATAAAGTTATAATATTTTGTAATAAAAATTATAGCATTCAAAATAAATTTTATAATTTAACTATAAAGTTAACAAAATCATTTAGCATTATATACTTCAGTAAAATCAAATTATATATCTTCAATAAAAAAATTATATTTATAATAATATTTGGCAAAATTTAATTAATACTTGATAAATTTATTAAAAATATAAAAAATATAAAATTTGAA